ATGTTCTCTTTTGGAGAGACAGGGTAAAAAGGAAAGGTGGTGGTGTCTTTCTACATGTGAGAAGTGATCTCAGAGCGAGTGTAAAAGAGGACCTAGTTGGTGGAGAGTGTGATGAGGCTGAAGCATTATGGGTGGAACTGCATGTGGAGGTGTGTACTACAAAGGTAATCATTGGAGTTTGTTATAGGCCACCCAGTGTTAATGAGGAGGTGGAGACTCAGCTCCTTGCAAAGATTAAAAGGGCTGCATGGGCTGGGACAGTGATAATAATGGGGGATTTAACTACCTGGAAATTGACTGGAGTAATGGCACTGCAGGAACAGTTAAAGGGCAAAAATGTATAAACCTACTACAGGACAATTTTATGGTACAGTTCATAGAGGCCCCAACTAGGAATGATGCTCTGCTGGACCTGGTAATCTCAAAACATACAGAGCTTATTTCTAATGTCCATATACAAACATATGGGTAGCAGTTACCATAACATGATTTAATTTATTGTTAGCTGTAAACAACAAGCACATACGGGAGAAATGAAATGCTCACCTTAAAGAGAACTAATTTTCAAAGGCTGAGAGCTGCTCTCCAAGACTTAAAATGGGAGGGAATATTGGCATCGATGAAAACAACACAGAAATGGGAGTTCTTCAAAATGACAGCATGTAAAAATATTGCCTTGGGCAACAAGTTTAAAAGGCTAAAAAAATGGCTTACGGCCAAAGTAAAAAAAACTATGAATAATATGAAAAGAGCTTTTATTAAATTTAAAAATGAAGGAACGCTACCATTGTTTAAACATTACAAAGAGTATACCAGAATATGTAAAAAGGAAATCAAGGCTGCAAAAATTGAAAATGGATGACAGATTGCAAAAGATTGCAGGACAAACCCAAAACAATTCTTCAAATATGTTAGTAGTAAAAAGGTCACGTCCGAGCATGTAGGCCCCTTACAGAATAATCTAGATTGGGTGACTGGGGACAATGAGAAGGCAAATGTATTAAATACCTTCTTCAGCTCTGTGTATACAAAGGAGCATGGGGGAGCTCTTGTCCATAATGGGCATGGTATTGACACAGCCCCAAATGATCCACATTGGCTCACAACTGATATGATCCAGAAATATTTAGACAGAATAAAGGTGAATAAAGCACCTGGATCAGATGGCATACACCCACGGGTCCTTAACCACTTGCCTACAGGGCACTTATACCCCGTTCCTGCCCAGACCAGTTTTCAGCTTTCAGCGCTGTCGCACTTTGAATGGCAATTGCGCAGTCATGCAACACTGTACCCATATGAAATTTTTATCATTTTTTTTGAGACAGAGCTTTCTTTTGGTGGTATTTAATCACTGTGACGATTGCGGCGTCAGACCCCTTACCTTCTCACCAAACTCGTGACAGAAGGACTAGCCAATCTAAAACTGTGATGTCACGTGCGTAACAATGCCATACCCAGTTGCACCCTGCACAACGATTTTCCAGCTAATGGACCACCAATCAATGTACCGGCAGCCTGAATGCGCTTGTTACTGGGTCAGGTTAATTATGCAATTAACCCTTCACACACTGCCACCACCTCCTTTTTGTACAGAGAAAGGGGAAACTCGGCAATCTCAGCAATAACACTATAATGGTTGAGATAATCGTCTGTATAGCGCGGTCACCGCTGACAGGTTATACAGAGGGTTAAACAAAACACAGTAGCGCTCTTTTAGAGGCAGGAATTCGTAAGTTGCAATAAAGAGCTATAGAAACAGTTCAACACTTTCAGAAGGAAAGATTTATTACTAAAAGGTCAAAAGGGTGCAATAAAAATATTTGCAGAAAAAAGATGTAACCAATATATATATAAATATACAGAGAACAACAGCATAGCAAAGAGATAACAGAGAGAAGTTAGAGGGTTAAAGTACTTGCCAAAGTCCTGGGTTAGGCAGATCAAGTTTCAAAGCAAAAGGGCACGGTCTCCCAAGGTGGTTCTGATGTTAAAAGGGAGAATTTTTCACCTTCCACTCTTAGGTCTGACAGCTTATTTTGTAGTCCCCCAGTAGGGGGTGTCTCTAAAGCCAAGGACCAATGCTTCATTTAGAGAGGGATGGTCTGGGCAGAGACCTAAACTAGAGCCAAAATCTCTCCTAGTTCATATTTTGGCTCATAACTTTTCCTAGGCACAAGTGACATTCCACCGCGGGTAGATTACTATGCAGACGCATCTGAGGAACGGTTAGATATGAAATACATACTTCAAGGGTTCCCGAGATGTAATCTTCTGCTTTCCTAGGTATTCCAGTCAGGGAGTGTGACTTATCAAATGGTTTGTCTTCTCGTGGCCAATCTGACCAAATGTTTTATAGCTAGGAGCCCCTGCTGTGACCTGACCAGCCTGTGACACTTCCAACACACACACACACACACACACACATACACAAAACCAGATGTCACTATGACTCTCACAGAGGGAGAATGAGGGGAATATGTTTGTACAAGATGGTTGACCCTTTGCCAAGATGGAGGTTGGAGCCAAAATGGTTGAACCGCGCCCATCTCTGGGTGTACGCTTGCTACAATCACCTCTGCTTTTTTTTTTTGCTAAACAAACCAAAAACAACTGAAAATCTTGAAAAAAAAATATTTTCTTAGTTTTTGTTATACAATTTTGTAAATAAGTGATTTTTCTCCTTCACTGATGTGCACTAATGAGGCTGCAGTGATGGGCACTGGCAGGTGGCATTGATGAGCAATGACAGCTGGCATTGATGGGCACTGACAGGTGGCACTGCTAGGGCTACACTGATCATCAGGGCACACTGATCATCAGTGCCCTGATGATCAGTGTAGATGTCTACTCAAAGGAATGCCGATTACCGACTCTCCCCTTCTTTCGAGCTGTCAGCGTGACATTTCCCTATTTACATGCGATCAGCTGTGATTGGACACAGCTGATCATGTGACCGAGCTGACATCTTTGGCTCTTTCCGTTGATCAGAAAGGGATACTTGTGGTGTGGGGAGTAGGAAGGAGAAAGTGAACATGAAAATGAGCATGTAAGCATACATGACATTAAGATATGTATAATTAAACATTGTGATTGTATCAAACAAGGAATAAACAATACAAAACGCCTGAGAAGCCACAGCAGCTCAGGAAGTCTAAGCCCAAGCCTAAGACCTTGTAGATTGGCATGGAGGCCTCTGACATCAAGCTTGAGGGTTCCCACCACTTTTCAGGTGATGAAATCAAACCAAATGGTGTGGAACCTTCAAGTAAATAAAAAAAAACCCACAACAGGCTGACTATTGTCAAAATAAGTCATTACTCATCCCATCCACTGAACATAGCTCCCACATATGGGAAATAGCCATATTTAGAAAAAAAATAGATAGTATAGCAAGGGACCTCTGTAGCAGTCAGGGAAGAAGTCTAGAAAAATATGCCCATTGAGGAGTGGCAGAAGCCTTCTAATTCTTCCAGATCTTACCTGGGCCAACAGCTGGACATGATGTGACTGGAGGTGGAAGCAGAGCCTCTTTGGGGAGTGGTGGTGAGCACAGGTTTCATAAGACTTCCATAATGACCACTGCAAAGGGTTCGATTGGTTAGGAGTGGAGAGGCTGCTGTGTGTAACCCTCCAATGTCCGCAAGCGGGCTGTGGGCTCCAGCAGCCCCCCCTTCATACTCGGGGTCAGGGATGCAGGCCTAAACAGGAACCTTTCCAGCATTGGAGGGGGTTTGTGGCTCAGAGTGGGGCAGAGAGGAGCATTTTTGGCACCTGAAGGTGTCTGAGGAAGAGCAATCAACTCCCTTGGCTGCAGCTACTATGGAAGCAGAGCGGGAGTACCAGAAAGCAGACGGAGACAGGAGCAGTAGTTTCACATGTCTGCTAACTTCAAAGGCTATGCATGTGCCCCTAACTTTTTTTTTTTTTTTTTTACTGAGTGGAACCTGTCCTCTTACACCGCTGCATGGTCTTGGCCACCAAGGTGCAGCTCAGTTTCAGGGTCTTGGCAATCTTCTTATAGCCTAGACCATCTTTATGTAGAGCAAAAATTCTTTTTTTCAGATCCTCAGAGAGTTCTTTGCCATGAGGTGCCATGTTGAACTTCCAGTGACCAATATGAGAGAGTGAGATCGATAACACCAAATTTAACACACCTGCTCCCCATTCACGCCTGAGACCTTGTAAAACTGACGAGTCACATGACACCAGTATGGGAAAATGGGTAATTGGGCCCAATTTGGACATTTTCACTTAGGGGTGTACTCACTTTTGTTCCCACTGGTTTAGACATTAATGGCTATGTGTTGAGTTATTTTTAGGGGACAGCAAATTTACACTTTTTTACAAGCTGTACACTCACTACGTCACATTGTAGCAAAGTGTCATTTCTTCAGTGTTGTCACATGAAAAGATATAATAAAATATTTACAAAAATGTGAGGGGTGACTTCACTTCTGTGAGATACTGTATATATTAGTTTGGTTAAGAGCCAATATTCACATATTTGTACTAAAATCCTCATTTGCAGACTTGAGACTTTAATGATTGGAAAATAACTGATAAAACTAACATGACCAGAGATAGCCTAGTGCTCCTCAATTGTGTTTTATAGGTGTTAGAGGATAAGAGCACTTTTAGTGCCCTTATGCTTCAGGAATCCCTTTCTCCATGGTGACTATTACACTATTTACAATATTTAGAGTGTGCTTATCCAAACCGTGTGGGTTTCAGTGATGTTCACTGCATGTCTTGCCTAACACTGCACATCTTTTTTTTCAAAATCTTACCAGACTGTCCAGTGTGTCCCACTGCAAATCTGAAAATCCATTAATTTCTACTGGGGACCTGTTAGCATCTGCAAAAGATCCAAGTAAGTATATGCTATTAGAATGCTTAACATGGGAAGGAGGGATCATAAAGGAGTAAGGTACAGAGTTCTGTTATTATTTAAGAGGCAAAACAAGTTTAAGTCCCTGGGACTCAGCGGATCACTGATCACAGTAAAGAGCCGATGACACAGTCTCTGTCATGTGATCAGCTGTGTCCAATCACAGCTAATTGTATGTAAACAGGAAATGCTGGTTATTGCAGTCCTCTCCTCATGCTGACAGCACATGAGGAGAGGAGAGCAGGTAAGCAGCATTCCTCAGAGGGGACATCTACACTGATGATCAGTGCCCTGATGATCAGTGTAGCCCCATCAGTGCCACCTGTCAGTGCCCTTCGATGCCACCTGTCAGTGCCCATCAGTGCACATCAATGACACATATCAGTGCCTACCAGTGCACATCAATGCCACATATCAGTGCCCATCAGAACTCCCTTTCAGTGCCAACTATCAGTTCCACTTAAAAGTTCCAGTCAGCGCCGCCTATCTGTTCCAATCAGCGCTGCCTATCAGTGCCAGTCAGTACCGCATATCAGTGCAGCCTATCACAGCCATGTATGCATGCTGCTTTTCACTGCCCATCAGTGATGCATGTCAATGCCCACCAGTGATGCCTGTCAATACCCATTAGTGCCACATATCAGTGCCTCCTCATCAGTGCCCATCAGTGCAGCCTATCAGTGCCCATTGCTGCAGCCTCATTAGCGCACATCAGTGAGGAGAGAAAAATTACTTATTTAAAAATTTTTATAACAGAAACTAAGAAAAAACTTTTTTTTTTTTCAAAATGTTCAATCTTTTTTAGTTTGTTTAGCTAAAAACCCAGTGGTGTTTAAATACCAACAAAATAAAGCTCTATATGTCTCAAAAAAAGGATACAAATTTTGTTTGGGTGCAGTGTTGCTTGACCGCACAATTGTCATTCAAAGTGCCACAGCACTGAAAGCTGAAAATTGGCCTGGGCAGGAAGGGGGTAAAAGTGCTCGGTAGGCAAGTAGTTAAAAAGCGACACAAAAAGGTATCACCACCATTACGTAAGGGTGCATACTTTTTAGTACTGGATTCCAGTAGTTAATTTTCTAAAACAACCTAATTCACTAAAATAGGAGAATATAAAATTTGGTGCAGCTCTGCATAAAAACCAATCAGCTTCTAAGTTGTTTTTGTCAAAGCTTAATTGAACAAGCTGAAGGTAGAAGCTGATTGGCTACCATGCACAACTGCACCATTTTTTGCACTCTCCAGTTTAGTAAATCAACCCCATGGTGTTTTAGAACTCTTATTTTTCAGTTTAGATGTTCAGTAAACATTGGCATGAATTTGCAAACTTGAATTGCATTGTGTGTTTCCACGTTAGTCATGGGGAGAGAGCAGGTGTAAGGATATTAGGAAATGTCTTCACTATAGCATAGGTTTGCAGCTGATGATTTTCATGTGTTATCAGTAGTGCTATCATTCATTCTAGAGTGCACATTTTCTAGAAAATATATGATTGCTCAGAGTGTGGAGAAACTGTTGCACCAGCTACCAGCTACCAGCTACCAGCTGCACATTAATATCATGCTATATAACTTTAATCGATGCTCTCTCTCCACAAGACTATAATCCGCCTGCACTGATTAAAAATAAGACTCTGTTAGCAAAAAAAAAAAAAAGAAAAACATATTATTAATCTTTGTGAATCCTACTAAGGATTCTCAACAGTTAATTACAGCATTTGCATTATTATTTGGACATTCTCCTATAAGGCGCATGAGTTTTTAGAGTGTGGATAAATTGTTGCTTGCCCCCCCCCTCAACATAAAAGCAGAAAAGGTAAAATAGCAACATCAATTAATTTCTTGAGAAAGGTGGATCTTGAGAACTTAAATTAATATCTTAATCACCAGAGGAAAATTGGAGAAATATTAAATAACATAAGAAAATTAAAGAACTTCAAAGCACATGGCAAAATACACAAGAAATGACAATGAACTAGGAAAACATTTTTTAAATTTGGTTGAAGAAATAAACACAACCAGGTAATAAGCTCATAGGAGGATATAGATAATATATTTAGTGCACACATCTTTTTAAAACTATTCCCTCAAATGACCTTAAAGCAGAACTTTACTCATAACAACATGATAAAAAAATAATGTTTTTTTAGCAGGGAACATAAATTCCACAATAATAATTATGCTACCAAAATTTATGAATGCTGTAAATTACCTCCAGCATTGTTCCTGTTTCTGCTTGTCAGAGGCTGCCATTTTGCTGAAGCCCAGAGCTCCTAAACAGCAGTAAACATTTAGGCTATTAACAGGTTGGCCTCTACATTTTTGGCACAGTGCTGAAAAATAGAGAGCAACTGAGCATCTGTAGAACAGGGTGAGGCCGTGTATTAGTGGATTTTAAACAGCATAGGCCTTATTTTTAGATAGCTATATCTACAGAAGGGGCCAGCATGAAGTGATCTTGCCAAATTTACTGACTAAAGTTCCACTTTAGTAAAGAACAGTTTGGGAGATGCTGTGAACTGAAACAGTTTGATTTTGGAATAGTTTGTTACTAAAGTTTATTGCTACCATAATGCAAAAGGAAGGGAGTGATATAATTAATAGACTCCCAGATTTTAAGTTCCTGGGACCAAAAGAAAATAGTTTAAACTTTTATAGAAAGTTAGAAACTAAGAGTTCTTCTAGTTTAACACAATTGTATAATTCCTTTTTTGTGGATGGAAAGCATTTTCCAAGAGAGTTTATTAAATGTTGAAATAAAATGTGATGGCCATCACTGCAGAGCACCTAGGCAATATATTTGGAGGTCTAATAAACAAAAACTAGGGATGAGCTTTGGGTTTAGGTCAACAGAGAGTCAGACCTGAACTTTAGCTGTTTGAGGTTCACTGAGCAGGAAAACAAAATGGCAAGATTTGGCCTATTCACCCACGCTGAACCCACCTATCAGCTTGTTTCACATTTAATAAAAGTCAGCATCACTAGCAAGTTTGTTGACATTCAGCAGCTGACAAGCTGTCATTTGCATCAACAGTCCATCGGGAGCAGGATTGTCATTTGGTGGGAATAGTTTTTTTCTAATTTTACTTCTTTTGTAGTGCTTCCTACAGGTGCAGGTTTAACATTGTTTTTTCACTTTTGCAGTCAAATTGGAATAACTTCTATTCTGTTTTTGTTATGTGTTTTCATTCACGTGACACATTAAAAATATTTTTTTTGTTAAATGTTCCTTACCATTTTAGATTGTCTCTTCTGATAACTCCAGCACTGAAAAATACTGCTCTGTGCTCTTTGGTTATGAAGGGGCTGTGTATGGCCACACTGTATGGTGTTGTCTATCACACTATGTTATAAGATGTATGTAATGATTTATTAATATATTTCTCCAGTCACCCACTGCATTACTCTTTGGTTTCCATTATATACCCCCTTTTGTGTGACTTCCTGCCCCTCCCACAGCTCCCGGGCAAACCTGACCTGACAGTGCTCTTCCATTGTATTCTGTGTTTAACCAGTGGTGGTTCTGCTGTCATTTAATGGTTACTTGTTTGGTGTATAAATAGAAATTCTTGTCACCAGATAAAACATTTGTAAGGGGGAGTGGTCTTTGGAATGAGCAGCTGTCTCCGAGTGTGTAGCCTTACTTCTCCTTGGCACACCGCTTTTCTCCTTGTGACATCACGTTTGCCCCGGCTTGTGGTTCACGCTGGTTACAGAGACTTCTGATTCAGTCTGCAGCATCCTGGGATCTCCCCCACCACCAGCGGCGACTTCACCCATTGCCAGGCGGACCCCCTTAGGATATGGAGGACCATTGGTGGGCCCTGGATTCCTTCCCTGATTATTGATGGGTGATTTTATCATCTTTTTCTTGTAAATCTTTTAAACTGTGGCTCAATAAAGTTCACCCATATACTGCATTCAAAAAGTGCCTCTCTACCTCTTTTCTGTTTTGGAGTGGTCCTTTTTGCAGTTGCATATATGGTATTTGTTTTTTTACAAAAACTTATGATAACTTATTATTAACATGGTCTCTCTGTATGTAGAGATTCAGTATTAACATCAATATCTCCTGACAAAGTGAATGTTGCTTTAAGAAACATGTCAAGACTTATGGCATTCCTTGATCATAATGCAGTGTGAGGAAGTAGCTCAGTAGTGGGTTGTGCTTGACCCCCTGGATGAGGCAGCGCACGGTGAAAGAGGTACGACACGACAACAGGATCTTGGTGAAGCAAGTTGTGCTTTATTTACAAGGTTGGTGATCACAAAGTGCATATCCAAAACAGCAAAAAAAAAAAACACAAACAGAAAATAAAGCCTTGCCACGTTGGGTATCTAACTGCAAACACAGGATCCTATCTACTTGTCTGGATACAGCCTACCACTGCTCAGACACATGGCATTCACACAGAGTATCTCAAAGTCCATAGTCACACAGACTTAATCTGGTTAAGAAATCTGGTTCCAGGTTGAGGCATTCCCCATAAGCAGCCTGGGAGTTTTATAGAGCCCAGAGCCCTTATATTGCTACAGATGAGCTCATTAAGCCATCAGTGAGCCAAACAGGCTCACTACACAGCACAAAAGGAAAAACAGTCAGTGTAGAGCATGAATCTGGTACAAATATACCTCCCATCCAGGACACATCCCCTAGTTCTTCCTGGCTTCCTGTCACAGCTGTCATACAGCGTTTTTGTTTATGAATTGTACACAAATGTATTTTTGATATATATTTATCTATACATTTGTAATACTTGATTTAATATTGATATGTATACTGTAAATAAAAAATTAACTGTTTAATACTGTATTGTTTCTTTGGTATAGCTCTTCAAAAGTCCCTTAGGCATTTTCCATACAAGAGATTTCATTCAGAATTGGACTGAGCTGAGCCTCATTCATAAACACACGCCTTTACTAGCTTGCTACAGGCCATGGGGCTTTGTTAATTAACATTGTCTGTACTGTGCCGGCAGATTTCATTATCAGTTGTAAAATGGATTTGAACACTGCCTGTTCTAACAAAGCATTAAATAATTAGAAGGTTGTCTGCTTCACTGTATGGTAATGAGAGCGAGTTCATCCACTTTACTGGGACAGACTCACCCTGAACTTTACTTGAATGACACCTTGTCTTTAGAAACATTTAATGAGATATGTTTTTCTTTTTCATTTTTTAGTTGTTAGGTTGCTGTGTAAATGAATCATCAAAATAAGAATTGCTTATAACCATATTGGGCTATAATGATAATGGAGAGATAATAAAGATTGCATCTATGATAGCTCATACAGTATAGTGCTAATAAATTACATAAATAAAAAAAAGTGACATAAATAAATGTGACAATCTCATAAATAATATAAATAAACCCTAGTCCATATTTGTATATATGCAGAAAAAAAAGTTGCTTGTCTTGTTCCACCACCACGAATATATCAAATATTATCATGCCATCTGGTGTCAATACCCAAAAGAAAGCAGCTCACCCTTCTTAATAATTCGCAAAACTGAAAGTAAAATAAAAGCTCAGAAATCCAT